CAGATGGTATGTAGACAGGCAAATAGGTGCAGAAAATGAGAGTGAAGGATATGGAGACAGACAGTAAGTCTAACAGAGTAATGCCAAAATCTTCCTTGTTCCCCTAATCCCTGGAATCAGTGTGTAAATACAGCAATTGAAGAAGTTGCTGCTGCCAAAAGGACTGTGACACAGTGTTTAGACACGAGATGGATACAAAGATACATTGGTACTTTTGTACCTACTCCGTTTCATTCATCTGCAGATTAAAAGGATGATCTGCACATGATGTCACAACTCGACAAATAACATTTTTTTTTTAAATAAAATTTGTTCATATTTAACCCCATATAAACCTGGCCATCCATGAATCGAAATGTGTCTGGTTCAGCAGGGAGGGACTGGCCGGATTTTGATCCGTGCATGGCCAGGCTTAATGTACAGAAGTCACTTTATCAATTGATTTCTGTAGAACCAGCCTGTTGGGTTTTTGTTAATCAATCTGTGCGCCACTGGCTATAGCTGAAAGCACTGATTAGTGTAGATGGTGTAGAAGTCTCCCTGCTGTCAGAATACAGTAACTCAGAGGGAAGGATTCCCCTCATTCATATCAAATGCGTGGATGGGGGAATCAGATCAGTTGTTTTAGTTAAACCCACTGGCTAAATGAAACAAAATTAAGCATGCATGGGCTTCCTTAGTATACCCTAATCAGCCTAATTTCACTGTCCCATTCTTGTCTTAAAGTGGAACTAAAACCATTGATTTAATGGTTTAAAAAAATTATTACATTCCTGGCATGCCTGCTTGTGCTCTCAACCAAACTGTCAAACAATCAAATGGCTCGTGTCATAACTGATCATATGTGCAGTACCACTGCAATTGCAGATCAAACAGAGGCTAAGATGGCAGCTTCAGTGGCTGAAAAGAAGAGGAGGTAGAAAGAACCAGATTCAGATCACATGAAGTCACTGGGGAATAGACAGGAGAAATTACATAAAACACCTACTGTACAAAGGTGTTAAGAAGAGTGGGAGGTCAATGGTTTTCTGAAATAAAAAAAGAAAAGGCAGTAACATGATCCTTTATAGTGCTGAAGCCCAAATGCTGGTCTAGGCTCAACTGAAGGAAAGAGAGGATTCATCTCATTGGAGGGTGAAAGCCAAGACTCCACCAACCACACCAAGTAAACAATGCCCTTCATGTACAATGATAGACCTTACTAGAAATAGACTTTCTAGCTTTTAGCATGGTAGGCAATTCAGGCTTCAACAGTCTTGTCGTTAAAGCTACCCACCATGAAACAAGATGGTAAATGGATAATTGCAAAAGAAGATCCTGACATTCCTGAAGAGTCCACGTAATATCTGCCAGAAGTCTTAACAGGTCAGCATACCACATATGGGTCAGTCAGGAACATTGAAGATCACCAGAATGCCCTCCATCTTCAATGCTGCAAAGCAGATGAAAATGATTTTTCAGGGGAAAAAAAGGCATAGAACAGGGTGTACTGAACCCACTGACTTACCAGAGTCTCCACTAGAGGATCCCTGTGTACCCAGGGAAAAGCCTGTCCACTTTGCGGTTTAACCTGGAGGCCAGGAGGTCCACATCTGGCATCCCCGACTTTAGACACAGGTGCTGTTAAAGCTTCAGATGTAGAGACCACTTCTCTGGGTCCATGCAGAAACTTTGCCTACCAATTGTCTTACGGAATGTACAAGGCGGAAAAGCTGGAATATGAAGGCCAGGACAGGATCCAATTTTCCTCTCTTACCAAGACTTCTGCTTTCACCCCAGTGACTAATACACTCCACCAGTGTTCTGTTGAGGAAAATGGGTGCTCTTTCCACCAGTAGAATACTTGTTGATGCTGTCTAGAGCTGGTAAGAACACAGTCCTTTGAAGGCCAAGGGGAGCTCTTTCCACCAGTAGAATACTTGTTGATGCTGTCTAGAGCTGGTAAGAACACAGTCCTTTGAAGGCCACGGGGATCCGTGGCCGAGGTGTGGGCAAAACGGTAACAAAGAAGCCCTTATGTCGGGTCAAGAAAGGCCCAGAGAGCAGCTTGTAGCACCTTACGCCAAAACTGGCAGCAGAAGAGGCCTGAACATCCACTTGGTAAAACTTAAACGTGTGAACAGAGGACTAGGTGGCAGTTTTGCAAATATGAGAAACAGAAGCCTGATGTTGAAAAGCCCAAGAAGCACCTGCAGATCTGATAGAGTGCACCTTAACAGGAAAGGGAGAAACCCTATCCTTTGGACCATAGGTTCAAATGCAGAGGCATAACTTGAAGCTTGTGGGTTGTGATGTAAAAGTTGACCTGGGACCTCCCCACTACCACCCACTGTTTCTACCACATGCCAAGTGGCTAAAGAACTATTGCAGGTCTATATTTACATACTGAGAGAGTAATTCAAAAAAATTTTGGAGAAACTGTCCACATTTTGACATACGTCTCCAATTCTTTTGAATACCCTGTAGGGGCAGGGGTAGTCAACCTTTGAGAGGTGGAGATCTACCTGAACAACATGAAAAATCAAAATACACTGGGGTTTGGCACCCTTTTCTTTTCTAAAGAAATTAATTAGCAAGGCCTACCTAAATAGTAAGGAAAACATAGAAAAATATAATAAATCAAATGTTGTTGTAAAGATATAAACTTAGTATACCTTAAAAGTGGACAGTGTCAGTAAGTAGGGCAGTGGGACGGTGTCAGTAGTTTTGTTATTTTTGTCATTTTTTTTTTTTTATAATTTTTAAACTTTTAATTTATTTATTTTTGTCCAGGTGTAAATCCACTTGTGACAGGGAGGTCGCATTGGTGGGTTTGTGTTGTAACCTCTGACGCTTACGCCAGTGTTGTGGTCCCGTCAAGTCACACAGGGGTCCCCCTACTGCCTGCACACTACAAGTCCCAGCATAACAAGGATTTGCCCCCCCCATGCAGACTCCTGTCACTCTCTTACACATGGGATGTCCCCAGTACAGGGAAAGTCCGGGGAAGTCTCAGTCCCCCCTCAACTGTAGAAGTCCCCCAGCCCTCTCACTGTCTTGCACTGTAGAACTTTCTCAGTCCCTCCATATTCCCCCCTCCTCCTCCATGCTCCACTCTCACCTGAACCCACTTGATGAACTTGCTGTTCCGTTATAGGATCTCTGGTATCCGACCCGACTCCAGGTAGAAAGCATGTACCTCAACATGACTGAGGATAGGTCAGCAGGGTCAGCGGGGCAATAACACAGAAAGTGTGAGGATAAACTAGCAAAGAATGACTTGGAGGAGGAGGCAAGACCAGCTCAAAGAGCAGCAGGACATGGAGCTAGGAGGCAGCACAGATAAGTTGGGGATGGCACAGTCCGTGTAGCAGAAAGGAGATCACCGCTCAACTACTCCCTCAGCACGCGACCCTCCTCCTCCATGCAGTTGCCCCACCCCATCAGGCACCTGTGTGCAGAGGCACATAAACAGGCAGGAGGCACAGAGCACAGAAGGGTGATTGGTGTGGTGACCGGGGGGAAGTAGAGGAACTGCTGCCCTGTATGCAGCACCTGAAAGCAGTGGGAGGAAGAGGGGGAGACACTAGCTTTCAGCTGATGCACACAGGGCATCGATTCGACTAATTGCATCCCCCACCACAAAACCTAATGTGAATGGGCTAGTTTACCCTATCATTGCTCTCTGAAGAGCAGGGAAGTACATAAACGTTTGTTATTCAAAAAAATGTTTTGACTTTACTACCACTTTAACCCCTTCCTGCGGAGCGTTTACAAATATGTGGCCCCACTGGACTTGGCTTTTTTTCCATGGGGCCACATATTTGTATATCTGTCTCCCAGCACAGAGACCGGGGTCTTACCAAGAGCCCCGGGTCCTGTACTAACCATACTAACGATCTGGACCCAAAACTCCCGATTCCGGGTCACATGATCGCTATGATAACCTCACTGTCTATCACAGTGATCAGTCATTGTGAAGCCTGCCTCCATATTTTCTCTCTTTGAATGGAGGAGAAAGATATATAGTATCCTCTTTCAGAGAGAAAAAAAACAAGTGTGTAAAAAAATAAATACTATAAAAATACCTAGATCAAGGTTCGATCTACGTCAGTGCCAGAGATAGTGTTTGGGTCAAGGTCAGTATTTTTTTGGGGTGGGAGTGTGTTTTAGGTAGAATTAAACAAAAACAAACGAAATGTGCACTATTGTTTCAGGGCTTTACTACGGGTACAAACAACAACTAACATACAAATGTGGTATTGCTGCGATTGTCAGGAGCAGGAGGATTTACTTTGAGTTGTTCTTTGGTGGTGGATTATGGTAGTAGCAAAAAAAAAATATACAGCTAAATTTAAAAAAAACAAAGATTTAGTTTTACAATTTTTGGCCTCTTTTCCTTTGATAATAAAAAGGAGATATCCATTATCATTTACCACCAAATGAAAATGCAATTTGTCCTGAAAAAAAACAAGGTATAATCCACCTGGATGCACAAAGTAGTTGTGATGATATGTACAGGTTTACTAATACATGTTAAAAGTTGCAAAAAATTGTGCTTAGGCATTAACATTTGTTTTACCTTTAGACACAAAGGGTTTAAATATTGTAACTGCATTAGTTTTCTTTTTTTTTCATTTATTTTCAGCTGCTTATACGGTCAATAAGGGAGTAGAGGAGGGGTTATACTTGGCTGCGTTTACAGCTTTTGCAGCCAGTGCCCAATCTTCTGAAGGCAGCATAAGCCAATGTACCTGAATATGTCATCCTAAGTCCCTAAGGGTAGTGTAGTACCACTATGAAAAGGGTTTTTTTTTTTTTTCATAATGTGCGGAAATGATATAAATATATTGGTCTGCACTGTAAACATGACAACTTTCAGTCATTAACAGTTGTCTCAACATTTGATGATAAAGTCTAGTTTTGTATATTCTTTGAATAAACGATACATATTTCACAGAAACAATAGCCGATGAAATAGTAAGAACCCTTAAAAGCCATGACGTGAGGTTTCTGGATACCTGAGTCGTCTCTTTGCCAGGCTCTTAGAACATATTCTTTCCATACTGCTCTGAAGGTTGAGTAGAGCAGTGATAGACTGTTTTAAACATTCTTTATCTTCCTCATCCTCACTTTTTTCTTCTAATTGCTGTAATGAAGAATAAAAACAGTTTTAAATATAAAATTATGTAAGCCAGCAAATTAAGGAACTGCTTTTGACATACCGTATTTTTCGCTCCATAAGAAGCACCCCCCCCCCCACAAAAAAAATGGGGTAAAATGTCTGTGCGTCTTATGGAGCGAATATGGAGCGGCCGGACCGGTATTCCCGCCGCCGTGTTAGAATGCCGGGCCAGCCGCTCAGCTCTACTGTGCAGAAGAACCTCCTCCTCTGTCCTACCTGTTCCTCGGTCCAGCGGTGTCCTGCTTTCACCGACCGTCTTCTCTCCCCGGCGCCGTCATCTTCAGTGTGGGCACCTGGCTGTAACAGCTTGCAACTTCACAGCCGGGTGCCCACTGCGCAAGAAGCGCTGCGGTTTGTGAATGGCCACCTGTAGTCTTCTGGGACCTGTCACGTGTTCCACAAGACTACAGGGAGGACAACTCCACTGAACTGGGAGCAGGTAACTGTCAAATTCAGGTATCCCCGCTCCCAAAAGGTCCGCAGTCTCTGGTCATCTCCTGTACCATGTCCGCAGTCTCTGGTCATCTCCTGTACCATGTCCGCAGTCTCTGGTCATCTCCTGTACCATGTCCGCAGTCTCTGGTCATCTCCTGTACCATGTCCGCAGTCTCTGGTCATCTCCTGTACTATGTCTGCAGTCAATTGCTTCAGAATATTTTTTTTCTTGTTTTCCTCCTCTAAAATCTAGATGCGTCTTATGGTCAGGTGCGTCTTATGGAGCGAAAAATACAGTAGTCAATCAAGATACCACTTGGGATCCTAGAACACTTCAATGTAAGTTCTCAAAACAACAGTATATTGCAATGTATGCAGCATCCTAATAACGCATATTGAGGTGTCACAATCACCGGGGTCTCTGTTGTTATGTAGTTCTGCAGAAATATACGAGACCAACAAAACAAATACCTAAAGGAAAAGATTACCTAAACTAGGCAGTCTAGATATACAGTATGAGACCAGCAAACAAATATTCAAAGGAAAATATTAATGAATCAGTCCAGATTATCTAAAAGAACTTCAGGCATCTTACTAATCACTAAATTCTCTTCTTTGTGCCTAGTGAAGCTTTGATCCAGGATACTTTGAGCTGAGGACTTGAATTCAGCTCTAACTCTGTATCCTGCACACTGAAAAAAGCACTGTTATTGGCCACCGGACTGCAGAATGGCATGGGGGCATCGCAGAGCAAAAGTTAATACCTTATTCCAAAGCATGGTTTAAATTTGGAGGCAGCCCTGGTGCACAATTGATTTGGTTTCAAATAAAATTATACGTAGGCATATTATAGCACATGCAATTGGTTTGCCTCCACAATTGCCACAAATTAACTTGTTGAATGAATTTATTTACTCATGAATAAATAATTCTTAAAACTCCGGCTTACCTTAATAAATTCAAAGTAGTGCAGGCAGTAGTAAACAGGAGCTAGAAGTAGCCGAGGCAAAACATATTGCACAGCTTCTTTAAAACCTTCACCTATAGACTGTAAGTAAAAGTAGAGAAAAATAATGTGACATTAAAAAACCTTTGATCATAAGATATAAAACTGAATGACTAAGAGAATATCTGTTTCAAATAAACTATAGCAACCAATCAGGTTTGAGTTTCATTCGTTACTATGATATGTCTGGGACAGTTACTCCCTCTGAAAGTTTCCTAAATCTGGCCCTTTCTATTTACAGTAATATCAATGCTTGCATCTTTGTAATATTTGTTAAGTATAATCCAGCAAAAAGAAAAAGAACATGAATATCCACGGAAATCACAATGGACATTTAAGTATTTACATATTATTAGCAATGCAGTAAATTAATTAAATGTGATATAGTGCTGCTAATGGACATCAATCAGTACTAATAAACAATACAGGTGAATAAACTGTGCTCATAATCATAATATGAATGAATGACCAAGAACATAGACCATAAATATAAATTAATGAATAATGTGAATAAAGATACTAAAGTGCTTTCAATAAATGAGTTCATACATTTCCAAATATCACATGATCCAACACCGTGACTGCAAATCCGTGGTGAATGTGAATTTTCATGCTAATAACAGTGCCACTCCATGCTCATAGAACTCTCACATCCAGACCTTGCAATATCACTTTAGTCCATTTCTCCTCCCATATAATGGATACTTTTAAGATAGTATTAAAATCCTCCGTCTTAGTGGATACCTGTCACCTCCATTGCATGCAACACTTGCATGTATTTAATAAGACATCTCCATAAATCTGGACCTCGCAATATCTTATTTAGCCACTAGAGGGCTAACCACTCCTCCTCCCATATAATGGATAATAATAGGTAATAATGGAAATCCTCCGTTCTGCTGGATGCCAGTACCTCACCCAAATGAAAGAATGCCTCATATAGTGTAGTAAGTCAGTAAAAAAAAAAAAAAAAACAAATCATACTTGCATTGTATATTAAAATGACAAGCGCTTTAAAACAACCATGGATTCTCAGCGTGGGCTGAGGCAGTTTTTGTGGAAGTGAGAGCCTATCCGTGCCACCTGATCAGTGCCCATCAGTGTGCTGCCCATCAGTGCTGCCTATTAGTGCAGCCTCATCAACGCACAGCAGTGAAGGAGAAAAATTACCTGTTTGCAAAATGTTATAATAGAAACAAAGAAAAAATGTTTCAAATTGTTTGCTCTTGTTTTGTTTATAGCGCAAAAAAATAAAATGCCCAGCGGCAATAAAATACCACCAAAAGAAAGCTCTATTTGTGTGAAAAAAATTATAAAAATTTCATAAGAGTACAGTGTTGCATGACCACACAATTGTCATTCAAAGTGCGACAATGCTGAAAGCTGAAAATTGGCCTGGGCAGAAAGGGGGTATAAGTGCCCAGTAGGCAAGTGGTTAAATACATGCAAGTGTTACATGCATTGGAGGTGATTGGTATCCACTGAGACAGAAGATTTTATTACCATCTTAAAAGTACCCATTATATGGGAGGAGGAATGGACTAAAGTGATATCGCAAGGTCTGGATGTGTGGAGATGTCATATTAGCATGTCGTTTTTACATGCGTTGGAGGTGAGAGTTCTGAGAGCATGGAGTGGCACTGTTATTAGCATGAAAATTCACATTCATCACGGTGTTGGATCATGATCATGTGATATTTGGAAACTCATTTATTGAAAGCACTTTAGTATCTTTATTCACATTATTCATTAATTTATATTTATGGTCTATGTTCTTGGTCATTTATTCATATTATGAGCACAGTTTATTCACCTGTATTGTTTATTAGTACTGACTGATGTCCATTAGCAGTGCTACATCACCTTTAAATAATTTATTTAAAATTGTGGGAACACAATTGATGTCAGCAGCAGCATCTATTTGTTTATTTAAATTGTATAGTATGCGCAGAAGTTCACTTCACTTATCTAATGCAGTAAATGAACTTTAAAACAAGCCTTCAATGACCTCTGTAGCTACAGACACTGGGTATCAGGGTGCACTTAGCTGCTGAGAGACACATCTTGCTCAACTTCAGTGCTTATTCTATGAATTTTAAGGATTACTTCACAGAGCCTGCAGCTCCAGAGGCAAATGACAGTTGTTTCAAAGCTTATTTACTGGTTTGTTAATATTTAAAAATACCTGAATGCCCATAGCTTGGCCAAAGGTTTACTTTAAAGTGAACATGTACTTTGTTCATGCAGGTTCACTTTATTCTTTTCCATCCTCACCAGCATAAACTTACTTTTCTTTCCTTCAAGAAAAAGAAAAATCAGCCCTGTGTAATCTCAACTCATATTTCCAGTCTGAAAGGGCTGAAAGTATTTCATTTGACAACTCAGGGCACATACTCCTCCCCCCCCACCTCACATATTAGAATGTGCATTTCCATTGCTCCCAGAGGAAAAATGTAATGGGGAGAGGGAGTTGATGGAAACCACAGGATCACTTTCATTCTTCAACATTGTAAACCAATAATGTTATTTTTTTACTTGCAGTATATTTTTCTTGAATTCCATCAAGTTAAGCAGGATATTAATAATTGTTGGAAATGTGATTTTTCTGCTCTCTACAGGAAGTGCGCACATTGGCAAATAAAGAACATTAAGCCAACCCCCATAAAACCAAGCCTCCAACAGTCATGCTGCTGCAATTTTGTGAACAAGCAACACATAGTTCTTAATTACACAGAGGGACAGGGCCTGTGTCCCTCAATGAACTTTAGGAAAAGGTTTACACTAAGTACAGAAATCTTCCTTATTATCCAGGGACGCAGGGTAGTCACAAAATTCTTGGACATGTGCAATGTCCAAAAGTTGTCTTAACTGAGGGGAGGGTAAAAGCCACTGAGTGATCTTAGCTATGTGAAATCTTACATATTACTTAATGATAAGCAATCATTCACCTTAGGGAGCAAATAGGTGGGGCAACAACTACCCGAGCAAGAGAAATAACTCAGACCAACAGCTTAATGTAGTCAACAGAAAGAAAAAGCCTAAACAAAAACTTGCACAAACAAGGTACATCCATAGAAAAAAAAAACAACCAGTTATCAGTTGCAGGTTTAGGTGAGAAACCCTTAATTGCACAAAGAGGGAGGTCCATATACAGTACTTCACATATCTGCAATTACTTAGGGCTTATACACATGGGCACAAAAAACACCGCTTTCAGAGGTGTTCACCACGAATACAGCTATATGATAGCCATGAACATTCTGGGGTTTAAGTCTATATTTTAGAGCATTAGAGGACAGGTTTTTTTTTTCTTTTTTTTTTCAATACGGTACACATGTAAACGTCTTGGGGAATCTCTGGACCAGCGAATGCACCTAACACCCAAGACCACATTAGCTCTGATCTGGTGGATCAGGAATCCAGCTAAGTAGGGTAAATC